GACTTGTGAGCCAGGCCAGATGATGAATGGCCCCTCCCAGAGGAAATAAAAGAGGAGCGAAAGGGGAGTGGAGTTTGCAGGAGACAATTAGTTCGCTTAATTGGTTCATGAGTTTCTCCGAGACGCCTTGCCAAGTTTTGCAGATATTGGCCTGGCAGCTCTCCAAGCCAGATAAGGTCTGTGACTGTAAATCCTCCCAAGCCAGATAAGGTCTGTGACTGTAAATCCTCCCTTGAAAGACTATGCTGGATGTGAATGAGCAGAATTCGCAGTCAATTAATAAAAGGGGTTTTTTGTCGAGAGAAATAGTTTGGGTCAGGCTCTTGAGAAGCCTCGGTCAGAACAGTCTGAAAATAGCCATTCGTGGAGCAAGGAGTTCATTGCTACATCGCAGGAAGTGGTTCCCCATCAGGACTTTAATCCAAGAACTTCCAAATTTCAACCGTTATCCTTCCAGGCCACCATACAGGTAGTCTTCGATTTACAACAGTTTGTTTAGTGACCGTTTCAAAGTTACAACGGCACTGGGGGGAAAAATGACTGATGACCATTTTTCACACGGCTGTTGCGGCATTCCCCCTGGTCACGTGATTTACATTCAGATGCTTGGCAACTGACTCACATTTACGACGGCTGCAGTGTGGTTCCTGGGGTCATGCGTGATCCACTTTTGACAAGCAAAGTGGATGGGGAAACCAGATTCACTTAACAACCGTGGGACTAATTTAACAACAGCAACGATTAACCCTTAACAATGTGGCAAGAAGAGTTGTAAAATGGGGCAAAACTCACTTAACAAATGTCTCACTTAACAATTTTGGGGTCAATTGTGGTCGTAAGTTAAGGACTGCCTGTATAACCTCCCCCAGGTTAAGATGACTCTTTTAAGGTTAATGTTGTGTCATGCAGGCCTTTAAAACTTTCTTTAAAACGCCCACTCGGTGGAACCCATTTCCTGCCTTCCGATTCTCAGATGTACGTGATAAGGTTTCTGTCTTGAGAAGCTCACAAAATGGATTTGAGGGGAATTGAGAAATAAAAAAGACAAGGGGAAAGGACCCATCGGCTAGAAAAAAAAATGGGGCTCTGGAAAAAATGTTTGTTAGGCTATAAAAATGAGAAAAGAAACACCATGTGGAGTTGTGCAATGAACTAATACACTTACAGTAAAGGGAATGCATATTTAGTTATACATGTATTAACTGCGGCTAGAATCGTATTTGCACAAAACTGGAAGAGTGAAGAGATCCCTACCACGTAGAATGTGATTAGGAAAATATTAGAATGTGCAGAAATGAATAGATTAACGTTGGCTATACGGGAGAAAGAACGAACTGAATACTCTTATGACATGGGAACTATTTTACGGGTGGCCGGAAAACAAAAACGGAAGCTAGAAATCAATGGAGATTAGTGAAACATAGGAAATATGTTAAGACAAAGATGTAAACAATATGATGATTTTTACTAATATGTCTGATAAGACTATTGTGTTCAATATTACTATTATATTCCTATTAGAAGATATGTTAAGAGGGAGA